AGAAACCTCAGTTCTTTCAGTCATGGAATTATTGGAGAATCTCATGAGCCACGAAAAAATAAGCTCTGTCCCTCGAGAGTTCAGAAACAGGCTTAAAAGTGTGATTTAAATGTACCCCCAACAATCCAGTAAAAAACCAACATAAATCAAAATAGATTAGCATATTAAGAGAAGTATATGTAGCCTAACTTTTTTAATGAAACCCCAGGGTGTGGAGAAGTGGCTCATATAATTTTTTAATACTTCAGTTGGCCAGGCTGCAAACCAGCCTGACAACAAAAACATTTGATTGTTTTTATTATGGTGTATAAACAGATACAATACCCTGCAATTGGGCATATTACACTGAGATAATGCAGAAAAACTTATGGAATCATAACTTAATCATTTCAGTGATTATTGTATTCTTATAAATGCTTAATGTATCATCATGGGCATGTTTGTGCTACATTCCTCATTTGGCAAATGTGGTAGTGATTGTTGCTCTAAAGGCACATTCAGGTCAGTATAGATAGTGATTATTTTGGAATTTCCCACCCGTGATGGTAAGGAAATTAGAGTGCTATTTGTCTTTTAAATGTGCTTCTCTAAAACGTTTTAATTCTGATTGAAAAAACTATAAAAATTAGTGTTTTGCTTGCTGGCTAATCATTGGTTTCCTCTGTCACTGGTCCAGGGAGAATATTGTTGCTGAACTGAAATGGGAGATACTCATGAGAAAAGCAGAAAGTGCAGAATTCTGCCCTGCAAAAAAGGCCTTTTTGGGACAAAACAATCTCAGGGCTGAGATAAAGCAACTGTGAAATGCTCAGGAGCACCGCATGGAATTTAGTGATTTGTAATAAACATTGCCAACAGCAGAAAAAGTAAATGTTGTAATAGAAAGGGAGAAATCCCAGAGTCATTATATGGCAGGTTTGTTTGGGGTTATTCAAAGGGGAAAGCAATGAAACTACACAAGGACTGAGGTCTGTCCCACAAACCATGCAGGTCATCTCAGCCTCCCCTGGTGCCTGTCCAGCTCACATTGGCACACCAGCGAGACCTGGTGTCCCTCAGGAATCTCTGCTGGGATCGCAGAAATAGCACAGAGTCAGCCACAGGATGGGGCAGGTTGGAAGGAACCACTGGAGGTGATCTGGTCCCACCTCCCTGCTCCAGCAGGGTCATCCCAGAGCACATGGCACAGGACTGTGCCCAGATGATCCTTGGAATGAGGGGACCCCACACCCTTTCTGGGCAACGAGTTCCAGTGCTCTGTCACTGCACAGAAAACAACTTTTTCCTTATGTTCAGATGGAACTTCTTGGGCATCAGTCTCAGTGTGTTGCCTCTTGTCCTGCTGCTCAGCACCACCGGGAGGAGCCTGGCTCCATCCTCTTGGCACTGGCCCTTAATTAATAATTTTAATAATTAAATAATTAATATTTGTGTGCACTGATAAGATTCCCTCTCAGTCATCTCTTCTCGAGGCTGAACAGCCCCGGGTCCCTCAGCCTCCCCTCACAGCAGAGATGCCCCAGTGCCCTCCCCATCTCCCCGGCCCTTCCCTGCACCCGCTCCACGTCTCTCTTGTACTGATTTTTAACTCATCGGTGTGTTTATGGCTTCTTTCTC